GAGGTGAAATGATCGGAGACGGGGGAAACACGATGAAAAGACAGAGAAAAACGACACGAGACAGAGTAAAACGACAGGAGACAGAGCAAAACGACAGGAGACAGGGCAAAACGACAGGAGACAGAGCATCCCTGCCGTTCAGTGCGTCCATGCTCGGCGCGAACGGGGAAAGGAAAGACAAGACGACATTGCAACGTGCATGAGAGGGAAAGGGAGGTTCAACGGGGACATCCACGTTTCCCGCCCTTTTTTTTTTTTTTTGTTCCTCTACGAAGAGACAGGCAGAGAAGTGAGAGGGTGAGTTTGGTAGTAACGGGGGTACCCACCACGTGCTCCTCGTCAGTGCTACCCGTCGATGTCTCTTCGGGGATAGTCTCGGGGAAGCTAGACGTCCGGGGGCTGACCAGCCAGCTCGGCTATATAACGACACACAGCAACAACACACGTGGAGATGGAGAGAGAGAGAACAAGGAAGAGAATCGCACAGAAAGAAGATGGAAGGCAAAGAGACCCTAGGACAGAGAGAGGGACACGGAAAGCCGACAGCAATGAAGCAGAATTCCGTGGATTAGCATCGGTTACATAGGCAGGACCATGATGAAAGCGCACATAAAAAAGCTCGTTACGCTCTCTACGAGGTTTACTTTCCTCACGAGGATCGACGAACGACTCACGTCTTTGGGAATCTCTTCGGAGCTGGTCCTGTCGTCGATGGTCGAGGTCTCGTCGAAGGAATCCATGCATCTCAGGGCTCCTCTCTCGCCTCCGTCGGGCGAAGACGGGGAAATGGAAGCCGACGTGTTGTCTTCCTCGTCCCCGAAGCACCTCGAACCGCCTTTGTCCCCGTTGGAGAGATTCCTGTCGCTCGGCGACACCGACGGAGACCGCCCCGAACCTACGAGATCCCGTGAATCCGCAACTCCAACCCTTCGAGGAATCCACGCCACGATTCAGCCTCGACGCCTTACCCGCGGCCAGAAGCAGAGACGCCTGGCTCCCGCCCCCGAGGAAGACATCCCCGAACTGAGTGTTGGACCTGGCCATCCTCTGCTCTTTGGGGCCCAGGACGCTGGCCTTCACGGGGGTGGTGAAGCAGGGGACGTCCGGGTGGCGGTGTTCCCACAGGGCCTGCCAGATCTTCAGCCCGTTTTCCAGGCGGAACGCCTGGAAATCCGACTCCTGTAGTTGGTGGCTCAGGGGAATCAGGAGGAACACGAACAGCTGCGGATATTTCCCACAGTTCCCAACGTCGGCTTCTATATTTGCGGTCGTGAGGACGACAAATAGTAAAGAGCGAAAATGGACCTGAATGGACGCGATGGGGAAGATATAGGTATGGTGCTGCTGCAACCGATCGGAGTCCGCATCAGCGCACTCCTCGGCCGCATCCAAGAGCAACCAATGCAACGTGTAGAGAAGCTTCGTCTCCGCTACACCCAAGGCCTGCTGCACGCACGTTTCCCTCCTGCCGGGTCCGTATAGTTCTTTTGTGAGGCGGTTGGGGGGCAGGGGGAGGGGGAGGCTGGGGGCAAGCCCCAGTCCTGGAGCGGGCCTCCTTTCGTTCTGGAGGGGCTTCCGTTGCCTTCTTGAAATATGGACAATTACGAATCTGGATATCCCGAATTAATTCTTCCATCATCAGGCTAAGAAGTGGTGCCGTTGTAGTGAGGAAGGGCGGAGAAAGCAGAGCGGATGAGAATGGATGTTCTACATCCATACCCTCTCGGCCCGGCACACCCTCTGTCAATATATATGATAATTTTCATAATTTGCTATAAAAGTTCTGCTTTCGGCGCAAACCTAAGCAGGAAGGAACTCCGCTTGTAACCCGATTGCCGTGTCCACGTACCGGTACCGATCATTTTCACCGTGATCGAGGAAATATGTATATTTTTTTTAAAGCTACCGTCAGACACAGCAGCGGGGAACACAAAGACTACGCTGATCAGGAAGCATTCCCCTTCCTTTTCGGAAAGGAGGCCCACCGAAACCCGTTCCGTGTTTAGAGATGGCTTTATTTTACTTGTTGGATAGAGCCTGCGCCGTGCACAGAAGGACGTGCGGGAAGGAGGCCTGGACGAGCCTCCACCGCGGTATGCTGGACATCGCATCCGTCAGGCTCGGACTCAGCCCCCACTTGATATTCTGCACGAGCACCTTCTCGAAGGACTGCGGGGAGGGGATAAAGGGAAGCCGGTTCAGCCGCGAGGGGGAAAACTGACGGGAGCGACGGGATGACTTATTTATTGCGGGTTCGACGATTCGAGATTCACGAACCTTGCACGCTTCCTTCATTTCCTTTGGTCGCAAGAAGAGAATGAAGGGGATAAGTAGAAGGGGGAATCGTGATTTGCATGCACGCTCTCAATACGAGAAAAGCTTTGAAGTTCAGGAAAGGGAAGAAGAAAAAGAAAGATAGACGGAAGAAAGTGCAGAAAGTGCAGAAAGAATTTACCGACGGAGCACACGGTCCCCCCCCCACCCCGCCCCATCCCCTCCGAGCCAACGAGAAACGGATGTTCCCTTTCACTTTGAAGACATGCAAGCCAGAAAGCACGATAATCTTGGAAGCTACCTCTTTCCGATCGTTCAAGGGCGTTTCCACTCTGTTTGCAGCCGTCTGCTGATCCTTCGGCCAACCTGCATTTGCTCTCGATTCGATTGAGATCACCGAAAAATGTCAGCAATCTACTTAAATAATTTTGCATCGGTTCAACTCCAAAGTCCAATCGATAACCCTCACGAACCATTCGGACCGTGCAGAATTCGAACCATCCTTTCATCGCCCAGGAAATTTCGAAAACGATTTCATCTCTT